ATTTGATAACTGATCAAGAAATATGTAACTGTATAACTATAAGCAAGAAGTGAACTCATTTCTTTCCTTAGAGTTTTTAATTGTACTTTTAATAAAGAGACAAGATAATAGCATATGCAAGTAAATTGGGGAGAGTTATGAAAATTTGATGTTGCATGTGTGTTTTATGGATAAGAGCCATCAATGGTTTAATGGTTTTATCAATAGAATGCTTGTACTGAGAGACCAGTTGAGCTAGATGACATGAATTTATCCACATCCCAATCTAAATAATAATTATAATGTTATTCTAATTAGAACTCTAAAGCACAGGTATAAAAGTAGGAAATATAGTTAAATTGATTCCAAGGTTAAGTTTAGAGTTAAAGGGTACAAAAGAGTGAGAAAGCATAAATGTTTATAGTACTTCCAAGTGAGTATATATGTGTGGTTCATATATGGAAATAATGAAGTATTGACATTAGGGATAGATAGAAAAATACTTCCTCCCAAAGATATCTGCATCTTAATCCCCAGAACCCTTGATTATGTTATTTTACATGGCAAGAGAGTCATTATACATGTAATTAAATTAAAGATTTTGAACTGAGTCGATAATTCTGGATTATTTCTGTGGGTCAATGTAATCACAATAGCTCGTTTAAGGAGGCAGGAGGGTCTGAGTCAGAGAAAAAGATATGATGACAGAAGTAAAAGTAAGAGTGATGTGACCATTAGCCAAAAAATTGAGATAGGCTTCAGAAGGTGGAAAAAGTGGAAAAAAAAAAAAAAAAGAAAAGCTTGTCTTTCTTGAGCTTCCAGAAGGAACACAGCCTTTGATTTAACATTTATAATTTCCATTTCTGAACTCCAGATATAAGAAATAAATAAGCTTGTATTATCTGGAGCCACTAAATTTATGTTAAATTGTTACAGCAAACATAGGAAACCTGTAAAATGGTTGTCATAGATTTAGAGAAACATGTATATTTGAAGGATGGGGATTAGCAATCTCAATGTCAGACCAGGTGCTGCGAAGTCTGAGAATGAGTATACTTGAATGACAAAATATAATGATTGATACACTATTTGAGGATTGTACTAATTTTTAAGAATGATGATATTTAGTGCCTGGAAATAGAAATGTTGCTGTGATGAATTTAGCTACAGAGCGTTGACATTACAAATTTTAAGAAAAGTGGAGAAATGAATAATATGTGATTGGGTGAATTATTTAAATTAAAAATTATAATTACTTATGAATTTATTCATCAGTTTAATAATTTTGAAGGATTTATTTGGACAACATTTTGAGATAGATTGGTGACTAAAACCAAGACCCAATTATGAATTAAAAATATAGATTGAGTCAGCTTTTTACAGCAATAGAAATTTTAAATGTAAAATTCGGTGATATTAATAACATTTCCAATGTGGAATAATAAATTTCTCTGTTGTAGGCATTTAATATAAATGAGATCATTTAATATTTCTTATTTATGACTGGTTTATTTCATTCAGAATAAAGTTTTCCAGGTTCATTCATGTTGTAGTATGTGTCAAAATTTTATTTACATTTATTTTGATTATTGAATAATATTCCACTTAATGTATATATCACAGGGATATTGTGATTTATAATAAGAAATATAGTGTATGGCCATGCCATCCTGAACATGCCTGATCTAGTCTGATCTCGGAAGTTAGACAAGGTCGGTCCTGGTTAGTACTTGGATGGGAGACCACCTAGGAATACTGGGTGCTGTAGGCTTAAAAAAAGAAGAAAAGAAAAAAATATATATATATTCGGTCTCTGTCTCTGTTTCTGGCACAGAGTTCCTATAACTCTTGGAATTTTCTAAGTGAAGAGAGCAGCAAAGGTGTTTTGTGTTGTTAATGAAGAAATTTTGGGAGCCCACCTACTGATGAGGGCTGGTTGCAAGGAGAGCCAACCACCTGATTGGAAGGTTGGAACTTTCAGTCCTATCTCTCCCCCTTCATATCCTGGGAGGAGAGAAGGACTTTAAGTTGAATCAATCACCAATGGCCAATGATTTAATCAAACATACTTATGTAATAAAGCCTCCATAAAAATCCAAAAGGACAGGGTTTGGAGAGCTTCCAGGTTGGTGAACATGTGGAGATTTGGAAAGAATATGATGCCTGTAGAGAGTATGAAGCTCTATGTCCCTTATCATGTACCTACCTTGTTCCCCTGCATAATCTTCATCTGTATGTTTTTGAATTATATCTTTTTATAATAAACCAGTAATCTAGTAAGTAAAATGTTTCTCTGAGTTCTGTGAGTGGTTCTAGCAAATTACTTGAACCCAAAGAGGGGATCATGGGAACCTCTGATTTATAGCCAGTTTGGTCAGAAGCACAGGTAACAACCTGGACTTGCAACTGTTCTGAGGTGGAAGGCAGTCTTGTGAGACTGAGACTTTACCTGTGGAATCTGATGCTATCTTCGAGAAGGTGGTATCAGAATTGAGTTGAATGAAGGTGCAATGTCGGACACCTTGCTCGAATCTGAGAACTGCTCGCTCTTGTGGGGAAGCTCCCCAACCAGCACATACTTGTTGGAATTAGGTCCAAGAACCCTTTCAATCACAATTTGTTTAGTACTCAATGGTTGTTGTACATTTGTGATGTTGCCACCATTCGGTTATTGAGAATCAGGGTGCAGTGAATATTCACATGAGTGTCTGTTTGAGTTCCTGTTTTCAGTTCTTTCAAGTATATACCTAAGAGTGGAATTGCTGGATCTTATGGCTATTCTATGTTTTACTTTTTGAGGAACCATCACATTGTTTTCCACAGTGGCTGTATCATTTTATATTCCTTCTGGCAATATACTAGGATTTTAATATTTCCACATCCTGAAAAATTGTCTTTAAGTGACAAACTACAAGTTACTTTCAAGTTAGTCAAGATTATGAGTCAAATTGGTTAAGCATAAATTTTAACAAGCTTCCTTTCTTGATTTACTATTCATTGCCTTAACCTACAATATGAAGGTTCATGTGTTTAAAATATGTAATCAGCCTATATAGCAAAGGTCCTTTGTCTTAACAAAATGAACTTTTATGATTTATGTTGACTTTATTATGTCCTTGATTACCTAAAAACAGCAAATATTTCTCAGGAAAGAGCTAAGGTTCTTTATAATCATGTTACTTTCTGTCTTTATTTTTTAAAAATTTATTACCTCTTTTAAATAAATAACCAAATATTGTTTCTCAGATTCCTGCAATCCTATCTTTGATATTTAAATACTTGGAAGGTTTTGACTTTTGCCTCTCAAAATTGAATCCTAAAAGTAAAATAAAATATAAATGTTCAATTATACCTCAATAATAATAAATAAAAATCTTTCAAAGATACCTTTACTCTTAAACAGTCTAGCCCTGTATAGTTCCAAATTGTTTTAAGAACCTGTGGAAAAAATAGATTATGTCTCTATTTGCAATTCCTATCAATATTCCTGTGTTCCACATAAAGATGTGGTATTCTGGCATTCCCTTCAAAGATTCCCTTTGAATAGATTCTTTTTTAAACATCTACTGCCTCATATATGAGTAAACTAAAAACATTTAGCATGTTCATTTTATATCTGAATGAGATCATAATTTTACCTTTTTCTACAAATAATCTTTTAATAACTGCTCTTGTGGTTTTCCCAAATATTCTGTATGGCACTCAACATAGAAAATAAATTATTCAGATTATGATGTTATTGGGAATAAAGTAGGCCATTGCAGATGAAATGTTGATGGTGATAACACTGCAGAAAACAACATGATGATGGTGATTATAAAAATGATAACAGCAATGATAATTAAATGGAAAAATAAAAGTCTTACCAGATTTTCACCTAAAGTTTCCTTTTGTTTGTTTGTATTCTGTGTTGTAATAAAAATCAGGAAGAGGATTTTTAAAAAATATTTCAACTGAAGAGCTTTGACTATTTACCCTGAGGTATATAGAGTGGATAGATAATATATAGTGACAATTAATGATGCAGAAGAAGATTTTTTAAAAATCTCAAAGTAGCTTGAAAAGGGATTTATTGATAAATAGGAAACCAAATGGTTATGGTAAATACAAGTAAATGATAATAAAGACAATTGTTTGTTTATGGCACATAGGGAAATAGAAACAAAGGAAAATGAAGAGTGTTTATATCCTATGATGATATATGAATGTGGATGAAATACATACCACTGATTGAATAATACAAATATTGTAAACATAGCAGCAGATAATTATATCAAATTTAACTGATATCCCATTTCTAGTAGGGAAAAAGATAATTTCTACTTTGAAGCTAACATAAATTAGATTGGGCATAAACAATTCAATAATCTTTATTTTATTGTTTAACTTCTAGACAGTTGAAAAATATATTGCATTATTTTTTTCTATGACTTTTTGTTATGTTTACTAGAATTAACTATTCCAAGTTTATTCCACCTACCTGGACTAGGAATGGCCTAACCTCCTATCTACTTGATCTAACTAATAAATGTTGCTTTTTAAGATGTCTCAAACATATTTAGCATGCAGAATAGGGAAAATTCAAGAAAGAGAAAGTCTTGCATATGTAGAAAATCTAGACTAATATACTCCTGAATTTAATGAAATTGCTAATAAATTATGGTGATGAATAAACATGAGACAAGGAATAATGAAAAAAAGTGTCTTTTAGAGAACTGAAGAATAACAAAACAAACTATATACAGCTTCCAAAATGTGAAGTTAAAAGTAATTTTTAATCTGAAATGTAATCGAATAAAGAAAATTTGCATGATAAATTTAAGCAAAGTCTATAGCTAAAACTAAAAATCACGGCCAGTGCAAACTGAGAAAATAAAATACATTAATCCTTTTACTTTTTTCTTTCTTTATGTATACAGAGATAGACAAAAAAGAAAAAGTCATTTCAGTTAGAAAGATTGGAATAGTGACAATTTACAGTTATAACTATTTCCCCAAAGTTTATAAGTTATAGATACTGCTCAGTATTCTTCAGTTCCTTTTTTGATGAAAAGTTTTAGGATTTTGTCTCGTATTTGCTTGGTTTTCACCACATACACAATGGGATTCATCACAGGAGGAATGAGAAAATGCATGTTGGCCATGAGTACGTAGATGGCTTTGGGAAGCCTTGTGCCAGCTCGATAAAGTATAGATAGGCAGATCATGGGTGTGAAGAAGAGAGTCACAGCACAGAGATGGGAAATGCAGGTGTTGAGAGCCTTGAGGCGGCCACCATGGGATGCAATGCTTAGTACAGTTTTTAGAATCAACACATAAGAAAGAGAAATAAGAAGAAAATCAAGTCCCATGTTGGAAAGAACCATAAAAAGTCCAAGGATGCTATTGATCTTAGTGTCGGAGCAGGAGAGCTTTAAGATATCAGGATGCAGACAGTAGGAATGAGAAAGTATATTGGACTGACAGAAGCACAGCCTTCTCAAGAGAATAGGAAGGGGCACTTGTGCAACCATGGCACGAATTACAATGGCCAAACCTATCCTGGCAATTACACTATTGGTGAGAATGGAAGAATAGTGCAATGGATGAGCTATGGCCACATAGCGGTCAAAGGCCATTGCCAATATGATAGCTGACTCAAAATCCTGGAAGGTGTGGATGAAAAACATTTGGGTGAAACAAGCTGAGAAGGTGAGCTCGCGAGCATCCAGCCAGAAGATCCTCAGCATTGTGGGGAACGTGAAGAGGGACAGACCCAGATCAGAGGCAGCTAGCATGACCAGGAAGAGGTACATAGGCACATGGAGGGTCTGTTCTCGCCAGATAACTGTCATGATGGTCACATTGCCCACCAAGGTAATAAAGAACATAGCAGAGAAGGGTATGGAAATCCAGATGTGCACAGCCTCCAGCTCAGGTATGCCTGTCACCAGGAAGGTGGGGAATATTGAATTGGTATTGTTGATAGGAAACATGATCCCAGAGCTGCATGCCTTTCCTAGAATGAAATGCATAGCCTCAGACATGGATGTTAAAATTCAACTTGAACATTTAATTGACTACTCATAATACCTCTTACTTTAAACTGACTGTGATATGTGTCTAATATAAGATTAAAAGCCATTTCTTAACAGAGAGTATCTAAGCTTCTAGACTATAAAATAAGACTTTTTTTGATAAAATTATCCAGACATTGTGACTTACTGATGGGAAAATTTTTTTAAAAGTATCATTGATATTTAATTTACCTGTTATTTAATTGATCTAATAAATTTTTAAATGAAAAAATCTAAAATAAATAACGTGCTTTAAATACATTTCTTTTAAAAATACATGCCACTTTATATATGTTATTAGAAATTACAGTAGTTTATCATTTCAGGGCATTTTTTACCACCTTGGTTAACCTTGATAAATATTAGACAGTGTAACTCAAACTGTAGGTTATAGGTACATTTTAATATTAATTTTTCTGCAATGAGATAAGTGCAGAAATTGAAAATAAACATTTAGAAACTTTTGCATTAGTGTGACAATATATCTGTGTTTCTTTAACTTAATAATAATTATTATTAGTGTACAAAAATAAAGTTATTATCATATTTTGGATGTATTTTTCATTTGATTTCTTCTTAAACACTTTTTAGTTATATTTTACAAATAATTCTATTAAATGATTAAGTGATTAAATGTACCTTCACTACATAGTTTATGAGGCACTGTTACAGGATAATTCATTATTGAATGTAAGCATGTTATTTTTATTCAATCAAACATGAAAAAAGAAACAAAAAAAATTGAACAAATTGTTTAATTTTTTAATTTTTGTTTTTGAGCTCTTTTTTATTATAGGCTAATATTTTAAATTTTAATTAATAAAATATAGGGACATTTTATACAGTTACTGTATATTTGTTTAGAAATACTTTTAGTAACAATAGCAAAATATTAAACAACTATTTTATTAATTTAATTTAATATGGATTTTAATTTAATATAGTTATGAATATTTATTCATCCAAATACTCAATAAAAATTTTTTTTTTTCTTTTTGGCTGTTTAAGATTATAGCAAAGATCTAAGAAAACACATCTAGCAACTTATATTGAAGAAGTGCAAAGTCTGTTTATCGTTCAACTATGATGTACAACATGTCAGAGATGAGACAGCTTTCATGGTCTGTGTTAACAGTATTTATTTCCAGATCAGTTGTGGATACACTGAGTCTCCTTCTCACAGACAGCAAAGTACATATTTTTTTCTGAGTCCAACCCTCACCGCATTTATGAAACTGAACAGACATTGCATATATGCTATTCATATCTTATGCAGTCATTTCCACAAACAGTAAGCTTTACAAATATGTACATATACTAATTGTCCCAATCTCTCACCTATCCTCACTAATGTCATCTGTGGTATTGTTTATGGGTCTTTGTAGAGATGTTCATTTACAAATCTTTGTTCCCTGCATAGAGACTCTAGCTGTGGTGGCCTGAGTATTTTTCAGCTGTTTCTATTCAAATTCTTCTTAAGTCTAATCTTTGGTCAAAGTAAGATTTTTAAAGAAAACAGTAAAACTAATTTTAAAAACCTTTCCTCTAAAGCCTCACTGTGTACCCTGGACAAGTCTAGGCAATTTTTCAAAATCTCAATCTCATGAGTTTTCAATTGAGATTTTGAAAAATTGCCTAGACTTGTCAGATTGAGATTTTGCATTATCAAAAGCATAATGATAAGGATAAAGCATAAAAATTGAGAAGGAGAAACAAGGATCTTGTTCACAGGTCCCTGCTTTCATTTGGCAGGTTAGTTAACTTTTCAAAATCTCAATCTGAATCCATTTGGATGCCATTTTTAGAATAATAAGGAATTAACTACAATCCTATAAATTATCTTTTAAAAATTAAGAAAATTGGGATTAACTTCATTCCATTTTTTAAATCTTGAAATTTGTTGTAAAAAGTAGAGGTGGTGGGAATGGGTCTAGGAAACTCACTCTGTTGGATAAGAGCACATTCACCTTAGTTTCATCATTGCGCCTTCCAATGTTAAGGGTCTGGTGCTATGTTTCTTCTCAATGTCTTTTTTTTTCTCCCATGAGTTTTCAAGCATTTTCTGAATCTATACTCTTTGGTTCCTCGAAGAATGTTTATGTTCAGGAATGAGGCTGGACTTCATGGTCAGTGTTAACACAGACATGGGTAGTGCTGCACTTCTCTAGTTGAGAAATGCATGAAACCCTTTTTATTTGGTTCAATACCATTGTCCAAATATCTCAGGTTCTTGATGAAAGCAAGAGATATTTTCACAGAAACATTTCTAGACTCCTGTGACTCCTTATAGTCTAGAGTTTCTCTACTCACTAATTTATACAGTCTCTTTTGTCATAGTGCTCTTCCAAATCCAGATAAAGAATGTTTTTTATCTTACCTTGCATCTGAAGGCAGAGTGTTTGCTAATGTCCTAGAGGACCAGCTTTCTCTTCTTTGTCCAAAATCAGGAATTCCTATGACCTGGTTTGAGTGTCTGTATTATTCATACAGCTATCTCCTGAGCATAATAATCTCCTGGGAAGTCTCTTTCTCTTCTTGATTCAAAGTCTACCTTTCATTGCTTCCTAGAAATGCTCTACAAATGACCCAAATACTGGCTACTGTTTTGCATGAAGTGAATTGAAAATCACTCATTAATTCTTGGTGTTCTAGACATTCATCACCAAGTTAATTTAAAACAATGTAATATCTACATTTTGGGATTATTCATATCTTTAATAATATATTTTTTGATTCTCAAAAGTTAATTGTATCACAGGCATCTGTTCAAACTTTACTATTGTTCAATTTATGTCATATGCTTCGAATATAGAAACTTATTCAGCGCATGTAGAAATTATCTTAGAATTCTGAAATGATAAACTATATATGGTTTTCTATCATCATTCCATGTCCTACCCGTAAACACACCATTCACTTTACACAAACATTTACGCATAACCGTAGGTCAAGGGACTTTTTATGTAACATAGCTTCAAATAAAAATATGGACATGATCTTTCAGGCTAGCGAAATCCATAGATTTAATAATATTCCAAGAGTGGTCAAATGTCCATGAATTCAGCTAGAAATATTTTGACAGTAGAAGTAAACCTTCCTTCTGATGAGTCATGCTTAGGAATTTAAAAAGCACTTGTATGTGTTGTTTACTTTTACTTTTTCACATATAAAATCACATTTTTCCTCACATCAACCCAGTAAATTATTGCTAACTTTGAAGAAACTGAAATTCAAGTAAATTAATTTATTTATCCTATGTCAGATAATTAATATGAAGGCAGTCTAGGATTCAAAGGTCATTCATGGTCCAGAGCGTATTCTCCTTCTAGCAAAATAGACTCCAAAATAATATTAATGTTATAATTTGTGTAAGTGTGACTTTTATTGGTAAAGTATCTCCTCTCTGAAACTAAGTATTTATTTTTCTCTTTTATAAGGGAAAAGCATTCTGTATATTATCCAGAGAGGAAAAGTAGCTTTCAATTTTTCTGGATGTTTCTATCATTGTTGTTTGTTTTATTGAAGATAGCCATATCAAAATTTGCATTATAATAATATCTCATAACTCATTAAATTTTCTTTATAACTTAGCTGAATTAAAATAGACAATTTCCTTTCTACTTACAGTTGTGAAGACCCATGACCTTTGGGAAAAGTATAAGTTAAATGAAGGACTAGAAGCAAAAAGAGGATGTTGCTGTATAAGTAATTCCTAAAATGTGAGAACAGATTCTTAGATGAGATGCTCAAATTAATAGAGTTTGATCATGCCCAATAAAAATTTCTTATTCTTTATTCTTCTGTTCATATATCAGACATATCAAGGCCTAGCAAAGAAAAAAAATTAAATAAATAGTATATCAATATTTACAAATCCCACAATATACTATTTATTTAAAATATGTATTGAATAACTATACATATTAATGTATTAATGATTGTGTATATACTTAAGACATTACAATGAACGATGACTATATGAAATGGCATTATAGAATTCATAAATAAATTTAACCTCTCAGGGGCCTTTGAGAATATTTGAAAATATATAGAATCTCAGAGTTGGACTAGAAAACATTCACCATCCAACTCCAACTTTACTAAATATAAAAATTTCTTCTATTCCTTCCTATCGGTGAAATGGTAAACAGAACTGATCACACCTAAATCGACATAGATTATATCCAGACTATGAACTGAGGATACTTGTATAAGTTTTCCTATTTGTTCAAGAAAATTCTTGCATAAGAAATTAGAGATTCAAAGCAAATAACGTCACCAATCATCACCATTAAATTCCTGAAAATAAATCTATTCAATCATTATGCTCCTCTGAGAAAGTGAAAATTATTTGAGAATAATAGATTTCTCACATAGAAAAACAGCTTAGGTCACTTACCAAACAATAGTTTATTTATTAAGACTACCTTCACTCCCATATCACATTGTCTCCATCAAGTCTAAACTATGGTGCCATAAACTTTATCAATTACCATTTAATTTCAATTACCATTTAGTTTCCAAATATCTCAAATCTTTGTTGTAGGATTCTCAGTAGGGACACCAAGGCTATAAGCAGGAAGCAGCATTTATTGATGCCGGCACTGGCTCAGCGGATTCTTATCCAAAGGCTGACCCCCAATTGTAACATGGCGGCCAGTTTTATACCAACTCGTACTTCTGCATTCCCACACAGCTATAGATTTTCCACAAAAGGAGAACATAAAGAAAACATCGATTGGTTGCCAAACTGTAAGGAAACCAGCTTAATTGTTTAAGCGAGTTTTCAGATTGCCACATTAGCTGGAGAGTCCTGGGGAAGGGTGGGGAGTGCAGTCAGGAACTAACTCGTTTGAGCAGGAAGTGGTCAGGCAGGGTCAGGCTGCCACATCTTCAGTTCAGATCCCCAAATCCTATAA